TAGAAACATCTTCAGCCCCTCACTTGTCTGCCGCGGTGCCCGAGCGCAACATGCGGGCAGGGTACAGTGGCACATGCGTGTCTTTCTTGTCTGTCGCTTACAGCATGGCCTGGAGGACACGGCAGCAGAGTGCGAGAGGCTGGGAGCCGCTGTTCATGCCTTCGTGGTGGACTGCAGCAAAAGGGAGGAGATCTACAGCGCTGCTGAGAAGGTAGGGGAGCAGGGCCACACCCCAAGGCTCAACATGCTGGAGTTTCTGAAAGGTCAGGGAAACAAGAGTATTGTACCCAAATCATACAAGCCCTTGGAATCCCACTCCCTCCGCCCCCCACTCTCTTTGTGCTGCTTTCTGTATGGCGACGGAAGAAGCACTTCTGATATTGCAGCCAGTCTCACCCGCTTTTGTAAGGCTCTGGTGTATCCCACCTCTTTGTAAGTTACTGTGTCCATGGGCAATGTGTGGAAGGCTGTAAATACCAGCAGTAATTAAGGGAAAAGCATCAGACCTAAACCAGATTTTATAGTACTCCTGCACAGTTCCTACCACATCTGGAAATGTGGCACAATCCTCCTCTCCCTAAAGAAACAAGGTTAAGAAGCAAATTAACTGTCACTAACTTTCCACAGCCGTGGTTGTTTTCAATAACAAATGACATACACCTGTCTTTTTTTTTTTTCCTGTCCACAAGGTGAAAAAGGACATGGGAGATGTCTCCATCCTGGTGAATAATGCTGGTGTGATTACAGCTGCCGACCTGCTCTCCACTCAGGACCACCAGATTGAAAAAATGTTTGAAGTCAACACTCTTGCTCACTTCTGGGTAAGGGCCACTGCCATCTTCATGCCCGTGGTTTTTTGGGAGCTTTGTTGAGGAGACATATTTAGACTAAATTCTTTTCAGCTCCCAGTGAATTACAAAAGCATCTTTCTGGTGTGTGTAGCACAGGGGCACCCAGCTAGATGGACTGTTGGGAAACCTGATCTACCTCCTGCTGATCTGAGTCTGGCCCAGTTTTAATTCTTGGTCTCAGCTATCAGCGTATTATGGTTCCTCTTTGCGTCGGGTAGTTTGGGCACTGCAGCCGGGCACTGAGACCCTGCACAGATGAAAATACACAAAGCGATGTTTTTATCAGCTGACCCACACAAAAAGCAACTGGCACATATCCCGAAGAGCCAGGCAGGAGAGGGCAGGGCTGACCCTGCAGCTCCCACCAGCCCAGCCAGTCTCCCCAGGCACTCTTCCTCTCACAGTTAGTCACCACTTTCCCTCCTGGCTCCCTGAGCTTCTTCTGAGCCCATCTCCCATGAACCCCCCCTCTGCTCATGATTTGTACCTCTCTCACCAATCTCTGTGGGCTTTCTCCCAGCAGCCTGAGTCAAGGTGACACAGCTGGGCCCTGTTAGAGCTGGGCCTGGCGTCCTTGGCATGCCTGCAGGTGACCTCTGGGGTGGGGACAGCTTTCAGCAGGGGTTACAGGGTGGGAGGGTATCAGCTGTTAAGGACTTCTTGTTTCCAGAGTAAGAGAAGAGGTGAAAAGAGGCACTACACATTGCCAAGCCTTTTATTGTACATGCTGGGGTGAGACGCTGGCAGCCTCGCTGCTGACACTTCAAACCTAAAAAGCAGCCTGGGAGAGATGTGAGAATCCACTCCTGTTTATAGCTGACTTCCCAAAACATTCCCTTTCAGAAAACAGGCTGCCAGTTGTACCAGCTGAATAGAGAACAGGTATCTATGGCTCCAGAATCTGAGGTGCTGTGCAACACATAGCATTAGCAGTAGCCTTAGTCACTTAATTAACGACAGGCAGGGTCGTCGTTGAATGTGCTTAAGAAAAATTGTTCTTTTCCCTGTCTTCTCCCCATTTCTGCCTCTTGGTTCAAATGACTTTCAAGACCACAAGAGCTTTCCTGCCAGCCATGATGAACAACAACCACGGTCACATTGTCACGGTGGCTTCGGTAGCAGGTCATTTGGTGACTTCTTTCATGGTGGCTTATTGGTAAGTGATTTTAAAATCACCTCTCTTCATTTTTATTTTTCATTGCAACTTCCCCATCAGCCAGCACGGAGTAACCAAAATAATCCTCCCACTGCATACGGTGCATCCAAAGGATGGTGCTGAGGGGCAGAAAGCACAGCAGCCAGCGCTTGGGGATGCCTGCAGGCTCCCACCCACCCCTTAGTGCTGATTGGATCAGGAGCAATGCTTTTACGAAGGAATAGTGATGTGACGTATTTTTTTCTCTCCCTCACTGATCCAGACTTTTGCTTTGCAGAAAAGGTATCTCTTCCCTTCTCCTCCTTAGAAAGTAGCGCTTCTGTGAGTTGGTGGAGTGGTGTCAAGTAAACCTCCCCTGAGTAGCTTTTGATCTTCCTACCATCGTGGCAGTGACTGTAGAGACTAGAAATACTTCTACCATCATGAGATAAAATTACTCTTTGACTTCAAACACATCTAAAAAAAATCACGGTGTGCGAACAGAAAACTTTAGAGGTTGCATATTGTCCTTCTGCATCCGATCGGAGCAGAAGCAATCTGCCCCTGAGTACGCTCCTTAGAGAGAGTCGTCCACTGCTGGCAATGTGAGAACTCCCAAGCCAAGGATTTTACCTGCATTACACTGTCCAAATCAACAGCAGTCAATGAACTGAATCTCCATCTCTACTTTCTCTTGGAGTTGATTTCTACTCTTGGCCTCTGCCAGTTTCTTTGGCATTATGTTCCTCAATTTTGCGTGGATAATGCTCCTCAAGTCTCAACACACGAGTGTCATGAGACACTCCTGTGTAGTACGACAGTTGTTCTCTATTTCTATGTTACTCATCAATCCTAATTTTACAGACTCAGGCTGAATTCCTTCTAAGAATCTTCTAACCTGGGAAAAAAGGGAAGTCCATCAATTGATGCACATTAGTTATAATTTTATAAGAATTCCTTACATTCATCTGTGTATTCACCACAAAGCCGACTTTTTCTGACAGACACCTCCTCTGCATTCCACAATTACTTCCCCCAGCAGGATTATCTAATCCACCACTACACTTCTGCACAGGGAAAATTTGAATTTTTCCCTGCCTCCTCTCTCAGCTGGATTACCTTTTTTTCCCTCCCGGGCAGTACTGGGTGATCTTTTAGGCCATTTCCACTTGTACAGAGTTAAAAATACTATTCCTGCCTTCTCACCTGTCCTTTTCTCCCTTCCTGCAGTTCAAGCAAGTTTGCTGCAGTTGGATTTCATAAAGCTCTGACAGAGGAGCTGTCTACCCTGGGAAAGGACGGAATAAAAACCACGTGTCTAAGCCCAGTGTTTATAAACACGGGATTTATCAAAAACCCCAGCACAAGGTAACGATCAAAACTCTGCCTTCCTCTCCTTCCCTCTTTGCACCTAGGCATCACATATGAGCCCCAGCTTTAGGGCTTGTATTCCCCCCGACTATATAAAACCAGTAAATACCACTGGCTAAAGAAAACCTGCCGTGTCATTTAGCCCACGTAATAGCTGCACGGGAATTACCTGAGTCTGTGCATACGTGCAGCATCCGACATCAGGTAACACCGACCCTTTTTTACCAGCATAGTTCTTACAGGTATGCTTTCCTTTGCAGGCTTGGAAAGATTTTGGAGGTTGAAGAAGTTGTAGAGGCCCTGATGGAAGGAATACTGACCAACCAGAAAATGGTTTTTGTTCCATCAAATCAACGCATTTCCTTACTTTTGGAAAGGTAAGTAGAAAAAAAAAGAAAAAAACCACAAAACCCCCACACGTATCAAAGATAATGTGCTGGGTGTACAACCATCAAACTTGTAACATTTGATTCGAGATTAAATTTTATTTTACAACACATCACAAGGTAACAAAATACCCCAGTCATTCTTTCTAATGGCAACAGCAGACATCACACAGAGAAATTCTGAGTCATCTCATAGGTAATGATGATCCACTTCCTGCACTCAACTATTCTCAGTGGAGAACTCAACCACTCTTCAGGCTGATAGGGAGGCAGAGGGAGAACAAGAGAACACCTTTTCTTCACAGATGGCTATTGCCCTTGGGCTTGAGAAAAACACCTTCTCTGAACCAACAGCCCCAGCGCAGTTCCAGAAAGAGCTGAGGACCTGCTGCTCATTAGCGTTTGTTTATTCATATCAACATATCAAGGTCACAGAGGCTGGGAAAGTTGCTCCGAAGGGCTCTGCTGCTTCTCTCTGCCGTGTAAAGCAATATTTGTCCTCTCACATGTCTTTAATATCCAGCATAGCTGCTCTGCTGAGGAGGTGTTTTGACCAGAGCTCAGGTTCCAAACCTGGAATTAACATCAGAACAACTACATTCAGTTTTCATGTCACTTCTACAGTATCTTATGAAACACTTGGCAATATCTTGTTTGTAAAAGCCAGCAAACTTGACTCTAACCCCAAATTTATTTTTATGAGGTGGTGTAAAGATTTTTGGGTTTGGGCTTTTTTTTCCCCAAAATCTCACAAAATTAACCTGATACAACTTTGAAAGCAAAGAGAAAGATAATGAAGACATCTGTGTTCAGTATTAAAACTTCCTGGATCCTGCAGCAATCTTGCAACCTAAAGTCTTTGTCTCAGTCTGTGCGCACACTTCTGCTCCCAGACCAGCTGTTCCCTCACCTGTGGTGCTGTTTTTTCCCTGTAATTAATTTTCTTATCCTAAATATTATATTTATTTTATATTATATTA